TCGCCGTCCGACGGGTTTTAAGTCAATTTTGCAAAAGTAATACAAGGCTGAGATTATTTTGCATTTATCTAGAAGTTTGGATTAAATTGCCAAAAGTGAAAAGGTCAAGGTTTTATTGGCAATTAACCCTATTTAAAAATAGACTCATTCTATCTTTAAGTCGGTTTTAGACCTGAGTAAAGACCTAATATCTTTGTATTTGAGTGCATTTTGTTAGTTTTATATAACTTTATCAATGTCATCCAAAATTTGAGTTTATTTAGGTGTCACATAAGCAATATAAGACTAAATGCATTGTAAATGCTTAGTAGGTACATTGTTGTTATATTAGCGAAATTTCACACACCATCCTCGATGGATTATTCAAATTTTCTTGAGCATAAGTAGTATACAAAATTATGTGATTTGTAATTTGGTTTGTATACATATTATTGTTTTGGAATCATGCCTGGTACATGACATAAATAGTTTATTTACAATTTTGGTAATGGTCTTGTTATTCACCGCCTCCTCTTAGTACTATATATGTACAGCCCCCTTGGACCATTTCGGCCCTCTCAATTTTCCAAAACTTCAAAAAATTCTAGAATCCTTTGTATCAGGTGATTTTCGGCAAAAAAAAAAAATGTATTCCAACTCGGTACGTTTTTCGACCGTCCGATCGGTGATTGCAGACAGGCATGGTGTCGTCCCACCGGTCTTTTCAGACATGGTCATGCGCGCCCGCCTTTCGCGGCCGGACGCACCTGTGTATGTCCGAACAGGCCGGCCGGACAAAACCACACCCGACCGCAATCACCCGTCGGACTTCGCTTGACTGCCCGGTTTGGCTGGACGGATGGTGATTTTTTTTTATGTTTCTAATATTTTTTTATTACTTTCTGAACAAAATTAGAAATTATATATATATATATATATATATATATATATTTTTTAATTATTCTATATTTTTTATTAAAATTAATTATTTTATAAATTAGATATTAGATATTATCGTGCTACAAGTTAGAAAAATAGTATGTTATGGGTTAGAATTTATTATCTTATAGATTAAAAATTAGATTTTATCATGTTAGAGCTAAGTTATAAATTATTATGTTATAGATTAGAATTGATTACGTTATACATTAGAAATTAGTTATTATCATTTTCAAAGTTAGAAATTATTAAGTTATAATTAGAATTGATTATCTTATAAATTAGAAACTAGTACAGATCCCGTGCGATGCACGGGGTATACAATTTTAAGGTCATATATCTAGCCTTGTAATTATATAAATGAATAAAAAAATGTACGGGATATATAGTACGTGACCTGTGCGAGGCACGAAAACTATTTATTTGAGGAGTGTAACATTTTAAAACGTGGAATATCTTTTCATTTGCCAGTGAGATAAGTATGTTGAACTATTCTTATCATCTTTTATAAATAAATATAATTATAAATTATTCCTTGCATAATACTATGAGATGTGTTAGTTATATTAGTTGTAAATTTGTTTTTATTTGTGAAAGAGAGAACATGATTTATTTTCTTAATAATATGGAATTTTGGAAACAAAAAAATCTGAGATAAAAAAAAAATACACGTCTAAATTGGAAAAAAAGATAAAAAAAAAAAGATTTGTGATCAAATGCGTGATTTATTTCCTTAATAATATGAAATTTTAGAAACAAAAAATTCTGAAATAAAAAAAAAAAATACACGTCCAAATTGGAAAAAAAGATAAGAAAAGATTTGTGATCAAATCTTACTATACACGTTTTATTTCTTGATTTTATCATATTGTTTTTTTTACCAAACTACCCGTAATTAATGCACTTGATAAGATTAGAAAGTCATTAATTAGTGTTGACTATTCAACATACTGAATTTAGTAAATAGGTTTGCTTATAATATAAGTATAGATTGAATATTATTATGTTAGAAGACATAAATTATTATATTATAATTATAATTATTATCTTATAGATTAAAAATTAGATCTTATCATGTTAGAGTAAGTTATAAATTATTATGTTATAGATTATAGCTGATTATGTTATACATTAAAAATTAGTTATTATCACGTTAGAAGTTGAAAATTAATAAGTTATAGATTAAACTTGTTTATCTTATATTTAGAATTTATTAATATTAAGTTATAAATTATTATGTTATAAATTATAATTTATTATCTTGTAAAATTATTAACATCGATATGAATTTTAACTCTAGAACTCCACCAAATTTTAAATGTAGATTATAATACCATGATTTGCGAATTGCATTAACAATCAAAACTGGTAATTTTCTGATATTTCTGTTAAACTTGGTGAAAATGTGAATACATACGTCAAGCTCCAAAGTTCATCCATTTTCAAACTCGATCAGGTCGTACTTCTTCATTTGTCGAACATGTGGATACAAAGTGTTATAGTTTGTTTGACCACAATTTTTGTTACTACTTTTTAACATAAATCATTCAAATTTACTTCAATCAACATCTCTTAATCTAACAATATAATTAAATAATCTCAATTAATTATGTTTACATATGAACTTTAATTCATTATTCATTTTATCACATAATTTTAATCATACATCATTTTAAATAAAATCTACCTTACACCCTATTAACTTTAGTCGTTGCACTTGAAATCCATCCATATGTATTAGTTCAAAACATATTGAGCCTAAGTGGCAGATTCTTACGTTTCGGATTCTGACATGGCGAAAATCTACATGTTGTTTATATATTCATTTTTGCTTTAGAGTTAGGGTTGATATTAGACATAAATATTTTTCTTCAAACTTGGTAAGTGTATATTTAATTTTGTTATTTTATTATCTTAGTACATATTTCCTTCTTAGTTTGGTCAAGTAACAATCTCACCATATTACAATTTTCTCTAATTTTTTCTCCTAAATTACGATTTACAATTCACTTTCTGCACTGTCTATTTTTTTCATCAATCAATCCATAAAAAATTTAAATAAAATAATTATTTTAGCAATAACTTTGATCATATATTTCTTAACTCAACACCCATGTAGTACACGGGTATTGTACTAATATTATTTAAATACAAGCTCAAAATTCCAACAAATCCTAACTCAATCAATTTTTTAAAAAAATTAATTCAACTTTCTTTCACTAAATTCAAACAAAACATTTTTTTTTCATATTAGACATTTCTCTTGGCCATTCAAACAAAACATTTTTTTTTTCATATTAGACATTTCTCTTGGCCCCTGTTTGTTTTGTAGAATTAGTCAGGATATTCCGTCTAATCCTGACCTAATCCTACGTTTGGTTCGTTGTATTAAGGCCGTAGGATTGAATCGACCCGAGATAAAAAAAGTTAGGGCTTGATTGTCTATAAAATAATTTGTTCAAAATGAGTTATTTTGGTTAACTATAGTTAATTTTGAAAAAGTAGTATAATTAGTTGTTAGATGAATTTTAAGAATGTATTAAAATAATATTTAAAATAAAATGATTAAAATTGATTTGATGTAAAAGTAAGAGATAAATGATTGGAAATGATTGGAAATGATAGGTAGTTAAAAATATGTGAGTGGATGAATAGTGAATTAAAGTTGATGTGATGTGTAATAATGATTGGTTTGAATTGTTTAATTATATGAATAATATTAAAGATAGTAGGATTGAGTTAAATTTTGAGTTAAAATAAAAGTGAGTAAATTATTTCATAAACAATCAAGCCCTTAATTATCTCATAAAATCAGAATAATTGAATCCTTCATTTTCGTTGGATTAATCCAATCCCAAGAAACTAAAGTCGAATTTACCCTCGTTTTAATATTTTTCGGACTGTTTTGACCTTCACTATCACGTCGTCAGCGAACAGAAGTCTGATTTTGCCCTAGCACGAAGAACAGAACCGCACTCCAGCTTCATCTCCCTCGGCAACGATCGGTCGGCGCCTCTGCGGAACTCGTACATCCCTCACCGCTAGAACGGTAATTTTTCCCTTCCTTTGTTGTGTTGGCTATGTTGTTAAGAATTATAAAATCCCTCTTTGACGCACATTTGTGGATGAGTATGGAGGTGAGTTTTTTTTTT